AATTATACTTATCCTAAAAATTTGAGAAAATGTTCAAAGCAATTAAAAAAAGTTTTCTTATCAACATATTTAACTGCGCCATAATACCCATACTCACCTTATGATTTTTAAAATTTTACTCTATATAAATTTAATTTAATATATAAATTTATATATATATAATTCAAACTTAAATAGTTTGACAAACTTTAAAATTAAATTTAAATCAAATCAAACTTAACTAAAAAGTTTAAGCTCAAACTCAAACCAAACTTAATTTTAAAAAAAAGATTAATTTAAAAATCAAATCAAACTCAAACTTGGCAAAAGTTTAATTTGATTTAATAGAAACCCTACCAAGCCAGGTGTTACTGTAGTTATAAGATCTATATCTTAAGCTACCTGCTACCATACTAGGATGTTATTTTATATCATTCCAGGTATTCATATTGTATACCACCAAATTAGACTATTACTTCTTCTAGATCCTTAGAATAGAAGTTAATACTTTGTTTAATTACTATTACAATTATTACTTACTAGCTATCTTTATTTTTATATTACTAGAATACTTGCTTCTATACTTTTCAGAGTTTTTTGGCTAGTTTTTCTTGTTTTATTGTACCAGAAGTATTCTATATTTGATAAAATCATTCTTTTATCATAGCTTCTTACTATGTTTATCACTTCTCTCACCACTTCTAGTTATACTACATCATGTCATTATTCCAATCAAGTTATCTAACAGATAGATGTTGATGCTATTTAAAAACTATCTTTTCAAGATTTACTTGTATAGCCTTTTGCAGTATTACCTTCTGTAACTTATATTACACATACAGTGTTCATCTTCTCCATAGCTTAGACCTTCTTCCAAGAATTTTTTATTAGCCAAATATATACATCACATGGTTTTACTGCCACAGGGCTTTATATTCAAAAGCTTTTAAAGATTACAAAGATAATTAATTAAATTAATTACCTCTAGCTAAACTTGAAATATTAACCTCATCTGTGGAGAGTTGGATATTTAGACTACTAGGCTACAGGACCCCAACCAAAATATATTTTAAAATAATTTTTATATATAAAAAATTTACAATAATTTTTAGGCATAAAATTAAAAATATATTATTTTTAAAAACTGTTTAATAAAAGTAGCTAAAATTTTTTTTACAAATTAATTATAATTATATACAGTATTTATATATTATTTTTAAATTGTATCTTTAAAATTGATTGAGATATTTATTTATTGACAAACAAGCTATGTAAAATACAGTATACAGTCAGATCTCTCTAAATGCATAGCATTGGGACCATAGTAAAAATTTTTAAAAACATGCATTTAGAGAGGTTATGCATTTAGAGAAGTAAAAATCTATAAGTGTTATATTAAGTTGGGCCAAAAAAAGGCATGTATTTAGGGAGATTTTACATAGATATGCATTTAGAGAGGTTGCATTTAGAGAGGTTTGACTGTATTATTGTATGGCCATGTTGTTACTGCCATACCAAATTTTGATTATATTTGTATGGATCTTTTTTCTTTTTTATTCTGTTTTAAAACTAATAATGCTATAAATAACTGATAAAATTAAAAATTTTTACATATAAAAAAAAAACCGAGAAAAACAAAATTTCGTGTTTATATCATTCTAGAGTTATTTATTTAATATGATCAAATACATATGGTAGTAACAACTAACGGACAATAATAACTTATAATTATAAATACAGTATATACAGTATATATATATTAAATCTTTATATAAAAAGTTAACAAAATCCCGAATGTCATTTTCATAATACTAGCTAAATCGACCAGCATTATAGCTAATGCCGGCTAATTTCGTCGGTATTGTGTACTTTCGTGAATCTTCTTTTCGAGATTTTGTGGTTTTGTAAACCAAAATTTGATCAATGCATATAACTTTCAAAAAACTTAAATACTATATTTACAAAATACAGTACTATGTAGATTACTGTGTATATATTAATTGATATCGAAACAAAAAAAAAAAAAAACCGTTAAATCCTAATCTAGAGGTATTTAATTGTATTGTTTCGTTATTCTAAATTTAGTAGGACAATATTCCGAATAGTTGATTAATTTTTTATTCCAAATATTTATTGCATTAACTAAAAATTAATTTATTAATCGGAATAAATCATTTGGAAACTCGGAGTTGAGATGTAAATTAATCTCATTGATGTTATGCATTCACATCTTTTTGTAACCCACGTTTGTAGAGTACATAAATTTCTCAATGGGTTTATTTGCATATATATATACGTATAACATCAAATAATATATTTTTAACCTGTAATGTAAAAAATGTAAAATATGGTGTGATTTGTATAGATGTCACATAGTGATGTATTTCTGTTTTGTCTGCTTAGAACGCAAAACAAACAAACAAATTGTAGTGATAATTAACTTTTAAATAATGGTGTAGCAAAATAATCACAATTTTCAAAAAAAAAAAAAGAATACGTAAGTATATTTTTTACAATTAAAAAAAAAAATGTATAAAAAAGTGTTCAAATAATATCATATTTTCTTTTTGCACGTTAAAAAACCAAAAAAAAAAAAAAAAAAAAGGAAGAATTCTATTTTTATGATTTAAATTTTCAAAAAATTCGTAATACGTGCATATTTCCTTTTCTCATTAAAGAGAAAGGAATAAAGAATTCCTTTGAATACTTCTTTTTTTTCCTTGGTTTTTTTTTTTTCTTTTTTCTTCTTTTTATTTCATATCTTTTTTTCGAGTCATAATTTTAAATGATAATGGAACAGATTCTGACAAACCAGCTAGAAAGTTCAGAGGAAAATGGATTATTATCGTGGGTTGAAGATCAATCAGAGCTTTCCCAAAAGAGACTTTTAAGAAAGAGAGGGAAAATATGTTCAAACGCATGCAATAAATGCAAGATAGATAAAAAAAAGTGTGATGGAGATTCTGAAACCAAAAAGGCTTGTACAAATTGCATTGATCGTAAAAGGGAGTGTAAGTTTTCAAATGTCCGTCGAAAACTAAAAACAAATGTTCAAAATATTGAGCAACTAATAAGTAGAATGGAAATAATTGAAAAAGAATTGAAAAAATTGATTGAAGAAATCTCCCTTATTAAGCATATAAAAGATATATTTTTCCAAATGATTAATCCGTCAATGACAAATGAACAAGTAATTGAACTGAGAAAAAGACTTGTTGAAGAATTAAAAAAAGAACCCGAAAACCAAGAATTATTTGAAGATAATATTAGTATTGAAACATCTTCATCGAGTTTACCTCGTCTTGACTCTTATGAAGATTTATCTTCCGAATCGATAACGTCCCCTCAACTTGAATCTTCTGACAGGCTTTCTTTGAATTTTAACGATTTGACAGCAGCTACTGAGTATTCGACAAACGAAAATGTTTCAACACTTCTGAATAATGATTATTTTCAGCAAGAAAAGCAATCAGAAGAAAGGAAACAAACTATTTATTCTAAAACAGAAAGAACATCTGACGAAAGAAAAAGAAAATCTGATAAACAACCGATCAAAAATTCGAAAAAACAAAGAAAAAACGTAAAAGGCACAACTACCAAACAGTCAGGAAACCTTCCAGGAATATCAGTGATATATCCAACACCAAAGGGTTACGAAACTCATAAATTTGTCGCCAGTGAAAATACTCAATATAGACCATCACCTTCACCCATGTTTCATTTGGGGTTGATGGCAGTTAATAATTTAAATGGCAATAATCCGGATTTACAAACAGCAACGTCAACTGCTGATTCTTTTGGTCTCCAAACTTCAACAAATATTGAGCAACATAATTACATTAATCAATTTGTTATTCAACAATATCTCTTTTCGAATGATATTACAACTGATGATTGTAACCAAGAAGAGAATACATTTAACGCTATGCCTCGTTAATAACTGAACAAGAATTCTAAAGTAGGAAACCCTTTTTAAAACTATAAGAAAAACAGGTTTATTAATTTTATCAAAAAATTCTTGATCTCTTGATATTTGTTTATTAACAATTAAATACAGTAGGAAGCTTATTCACTTCACTGTTTTACAATTTCATAAGGTCTAAAGTAAAAACTTAAGGAAAAAAAATTTTTTTACGTATCAATGTTATACTTGGCAAAATCTACAATTTAAAAAAAATAAATATTTCTAACTTTTTTAAGTCATAATTTACTGTATGGATTATCCTTAAGCCACTTAATTTAACGCGCATAATTTATAATTTACGAATTAATGTTACGTATCATTGCGCTTTAACGATGCTAGTTTTGCGGTTGACTATCTATGCTCACGTGATATGAACAGAAGCGGTACAAATCATTGAGTGATTATATTGTAACCTCTACACAAAGCTACTTTAATCCGTAAAATCACATTAATAAATTATAATATATAGATAAATTATAGTGGTGCATGTGCATGTCTTAAATGCTACGTATACTTTGTTATATATCTATTTTTTATTTCTTGCATTGTTTTACTACGTAATCATTGAAGGTATCAATTATCTATCTAAACTAATTTGTTAATATCACATTAACTAAAGTGACTAGAGAACATGATATATTTTAATTAGCATTCAACGCAATCACACTCGCCGCAATGAAATGCGCACCATCGTAAATCAAGCCTTTGTGTTCTTTTTTCAGTAGCATTCGATGTTTCTACGTACTCGGAATCGAAACACCATGGCGTATTGGTGGATATCTTATCCTTTATTGGAAAAATTAAAAAGAAGGTTATGGTAACCTCTTCATATTCTTATAGATTACTTCATAAGTTAACGTAAAATTAGAAAAAAAAGATTTTTTTGTTTTTTTTTTATTAGCATTGTACTCCAAACTGCGTAAAAAGATCGACAGGATGGATGTATGTGCAATAAACATACATCCAACTCCATTGGTCATAGAATGAAGCTTGTTGTTTCACTAAAGCACGTTTAAAGCCATATTAAAATAATTTATTTCAATGAACATTTCAAAACGAATCAAAAAAAATATCATTAAGGTGCTTCATATGATGTACTGTTTTTTTATTATTATTTTAATCTTGTGCGGCAAAACCACTTTCAAAGATTTATATAACTTATGACAATTGGTACACATTACATGTACAGTATATGTAAATTATGTAGCTAGTTATACACGAGTGTAATTCTGATATCATTATATAACTGTATACAAGGGTTATGCACGCAATTTTAATCAATTCTTTCATTGATATTTACTAATATCGGGCTTTTCATTTCTTTTGCAACGTTATATCTCCAGAGTGAATTGTTTCCCATGAACAAAATAATAACTGACAAGTCACATGATCATGGTCTGTGAATGCGCTTTAGATTGTGTATCTGGTATTATAGTTAATTATATATTTGATTAATTATATTAGTTAATTATATAATTATAAAGTTAATTAACGTTAATTAATTGGTACGTACACAAGTATGTACAATTAAATTGCATGATTATACGGAGCGATTAATAAAATGTGTGTATAAAATTTTTTTTTGGTTTCAATAATTTGGTTTTGTTTAGATATTGTAAATTGATCTAATTACACCGACTACCCAAAAGTCCAGAACCACCTATAAAATTTCCATAATGTTAAATTTTAACTCAGTGAAGTTTGAATAGGTAGTGTATTATGAAAATTCAAGTATAATGAAGTAGATAAAATTCATTCCTCATTTTGTGACAATCCTTTTAAATTAACCGATTTTTATTTAACTTAAAATTGTTTATATTGCTACACCTTATTAAAATCCTTCGGAATTCAAAATTGATTTTTTTTTAATTGTTTATTATACTTGTTTTATGATGAATTAGAATAAAAAAAAAGGTGATTGGGTTAATTACTGTAGGTCGTGAAATATAACTACAATGTGTAGCTATATTTATGTTAGAGTATGTATAAAATTAGTTTGCTAAATTCTATAAAGCAATTTTATTAAAATTGATATGTATAACAGATAACATAGATTGACAGAATACGTACATACGTACGTACGTACGTATACGTTTTCAAATGCTACGTACTATAAAAAATTTCCTTAAATGCAGTTTAATTAATTAATTAAATTAATTAATCTTTTTTTTTATCTTCGCACTAATGTGCAATATATATTCTTAAATTATTTACATTAAACGCATACATCTGGATTAGAAACGAAAGCTAAATACAATGAACTTTTATATATATATATATTTTAATAATTTATTTATTTGTCATTTTTATTTTAAGAAACAGCAAATAAATCGTATCCTTCATCTTCGAAATTTGTTGCCAAGGCTTCTTCGTCAATGGATTCAACTTGCGATGTATGACCTTCTGCTGCATAAACTGTAGCATCAAGTTCTGATTGTGTATTGAAAAGAATTGGTGCAGATTCTGTAATGGACACTTGACGTTTATTAATTATCTGAGGTGAGAAAACTTTATTTGGTATAGTAATTCCATTTCGAGAAACGGTCCGGGTTCTTTTGACAATCGGGTGGTAACAGACGAATGATGAAGTACTATGATTAATCATTAATAATAAAATTAGGTAAACAAGAAACTTGGCGAAAATTAAATTTTGTTGTGACATACTGTAATGTCTTGAAAGGGCATGGATTTCTTTTCTTTATATTTAAAAAAGTAGAATTGATCATTGATTATTGATATCATTGCGATAATGTATTATGCTTTTCTCTTTAGCCACCAATGCATCACAAGAATCATTGTAAATGATTTCAAAAATTAGTCAAAAATAGTTTCGTTCGATGTTACTATTTAATGCAAGATTGAACACTTAAAAATAGCTGTTTCATTGTCAATTTTAATCTTTATCTCATGTAAGAATAAGCCATCAAATAACCATTATAATTATGCAATGCTATATTAAGAGACGTTTACATTGGTAATTCAATTTAATCCAATTGATTTAGTTTCCCGTCAAAAATATCAATTGTGCAAAATACAATTGGATCTCATATATTGTACCTTAAGTATTCTGATAATAAAACCCTAGCATTACCAAATCTATATTATTCTCTATTGAGATAGGTTTAGTAGCGATAATCGCAAGGATATATTCGATAGGATGTTGAAATTTGATTTGGAAAAGAATCGACACATCAATCTGACCATTGGGTTCTATTGTTACCGAAGGAAAAGGATGTGAACCGGTACACATACTAGGAACTAGATGTTGTACCCGTTTATCCGACAATCCGGAAACCGATATTTTGATGCTATCCCGGAATAAATTATACATAACCGGTTAATCCAGTTAATTTATATAGATATTACGCGTCGTTATATGTTACATAGTGTAGTGACGCGCCAGCCGCTATATACTTGAAATTATATAGATTGAATAATACAAGGTTTCTAATGGGCATAGTAATTCTATAAACTTTTATTTTTACTTTTTAATTTTGTTTTATCGCGATAATTTAATAGTGAGTATAAACATTATTAATTTAAGTATTTAAACTAAACTATATTTTCAAGGTTATTATATTTACCATTTATAATTTTACATTAGATTGTGAGTATAAAGAACACTGAGATATAAAAGCTCATCAATATTTGCCACTTCATTATTCGCGTTAATTTAGTTGGAACATTGATTAATTTAATATAATTAGCTATTTAAATTCATGAATCATCATTACCGTAAAATATGGAAAATAAGCACAGTACCCTCTACCCTACTTTTTTCAATTTCAAATTAGCGGAAATAGCAATAAAATATTTAATCAAGTTATTCCCGTTAATCTGAAATTGAAAAAAGCAGGGTAGAAGGTTCTATGCTTATTTCCCAAATTTAATTAGAGTATAAAGAGCATTGGTTTATCCAAGTACAGTATTTAAATAAGCTATTATAAGCTATTCGTGCTTATTAATATTTACTATTTAAACTTATTATTTGGTTAATTTAGCATGTATATGACGAGAGTTTTAATTCGGCAACCTTAGACTAAAGTTGATTTGGCATAAATTTAGCCAATCGTACGAATTTCTTACTTGAGTCACTTTAAGTAATCCGGTTTGTAACCGGTTAACAAATTATAAACAGGTGAGTAAACCGGAGCTTAAATTTTATATGGGTACAACCTCAAATTATAGTCCTTTTAGAAAATTAAATAAAATTTATTTGAATTGTTTGAATTGAAAATTTGGAAAATGAACTAATGTAGTAGAAATATGCTTTGAAGTAGAAATTGGAGTATTGGTTATTAAATCTATATAATATATTAGGTTTAGGCCGCAGATAAATATCTAGGTTAACTTATTATTAGGTTTTCTAGATGTCTAAGTTCTTATTCTTAGTACTAGGCTTAAAATTTAAACCCTTTTTCAATCATGTAAAAAGTTTTCATTAAGTTTAATAAAGATAAGAGCAAGGTCTCACCTTAAATATTAAAAAAAAAAAAAAAAGAACATATATAATATATAAATTGTTTTAACAAATTATATATTAAAGATAAAAAATATTATTATAGCATTATAGTACTGTAATACTACTCTATATGTAATAACCAAATTAATATAATATGTAAATCAAACTAACTTTTATCAAAATAAAAATCAAATTTCTTTAATATTATTAAAATAAGAATAAAGATAAATAGTTAGAGTTAAGTAATTTTATAGTAAAATTTACAAAAATCTTCAATTAACTATTAACAACAAATTAATTTTAAAACAATGGTCTTAAACTAAAGTGTCTGGTATATAAAAAAAATTTGGTATACCTTTTGTTAAAATTTATATTATAGTATGCTTAGTGACTTGAATTGGTTGAGCTATAATTGGTTAACCAACCCAAACTAAATAAATTTTGGGTAACCAGTTAAGGAAATTCTTAATCAGTTGTTCAATATAACTAGTTGGCAAGATTAATATAGTATAAGAAAATGTCAAAATGATATATAAATTTGAAAAGTTCTAACAAGAAAATAAATAAATATAAAAAATATGCAAGTCAAGATATAAAATAAAAATTAGAGTTAAGCTCTAAGAATTTTTGAAGATAGTATAGATATTAATCTTAACTATTAGTAATTAGTTGAATAAAATAATTTGGTTCAGTTAACCAATTAAGAAATTTTTTTAGTTCAAATTACTAGATATATTATAAAATATTATATATTATTTATAATTCTATATCTAGTAGCATATCTTTGTTACTATACCAGATACTCTATTTCAAACAGCATAGTAGATATTCAATTTGATTGGCTTGAAAATCTCTGAGTTACACAACATAAAAAAAAATTTTTAAAATAATTCTTACTATAAAAAACTATATTATCAATTGGCAACTCATAGTTTTATATAATAAATTTTTTAAAAAATATCTTAAAATATTTTTTATCTTTTTGTATATCTTTAGCAAAAAAAATTATTATAAAACAGTATTTCTAAAGACTTTACTTAAAAATCAAATTTAGACAAATTTAAATAATAAATAAAATAATAAGTTTTTAAATTTGAAAAGAATTTGAAAAAAAGTAATGCTACTAGACTAAATAACTTAATTTTATTAGTATTAGAGCAAAAAGAAAAACTTTAACCATATTAATAATTTCACAAAGTTGTCTAGAATCTATTTTTTTAAAGAAAAAATCTTAATAATATAGATTATTTAATATTAAGAAATAATATTAAGAAATAATTAATAAGATAAATAAAATAGCTATTATAAAGTATAGTAATAATGATGGATTTTTTTTAGCTAATAAAAAATATAAGTATTTTTATTTTTGCTAGCATTCAAATTTCTTTCAGCTATTCTTAATACAAACTAACTTAACCTTAATTATATACTATAAGTTACTATCATAAAATACAAGTTTTTTAATAAAATATTATAAATTCTGAAATAAGCTAAAAATTTGTTTGTTTTTTAAAATCTTTCTAGTTTTATTTTATTATGAATTATCTAACTTTTCAAAAAATATATTGCTATATTTAGAACAAAGTTCTAAAGACAATAATATAATTCTGAAGAATTAGATAATTTTTAGAATAAAACAGAAGAGATTTTAAAAAGCAACTAAATTTTTGGTTTGTTTCAAAATTTATAAAAATAGTATATCCTCTTTCTCTTTTTTTTTTTGTTCTTTTCTTCTTCTTTGTTATATTGCATCTCTTTTTTTATTCAGCTACTAGGTTATAGTGAAAACATCATATGTGCTTGTAGAAGTGGTCTTTGAAGTGGTTAAGTATTGCTTGGCTAAACTTACTAGCTATTATTAAATTCTAGAAGACTGAGCAAATTTTGTCTATTCTTTACTTTGTAATTAGCTCTTTTATTAGTTTTTTTCTTGCCTCTAGTCTTTCTTGTAGATTGCTTCCAAAGATTGTATTTTCTATTTCTTTAGTATTTGAAATCTTTAGCTTTGTTTTTTCTTTTTTAGCCTTTTCTATAAGTAGAACAGTTCTTTCTATTTCGATAATGCTCTAGAGTCATTAATATTCTAAATATTCTGCTAGATAGTCTTGTGTTTCAGTTTCTTGTTAGCACATTTTATACTTGTTATCTGAATAAATATTTGCTCTTCTTTGATATAAAGTTTGCATTGTTAAAAGAAGATCATTTAAATATTTGATTTTGAATATCTAATTCTTATTTGCTTTGGAGCTTTTGCAGTTGTTGCCTTTTACTTGCCCTATACTATTCCAAACCTCTTTTTAAATGATTAAGTTTGTATTTTGCTTAGTTTCTACCCACTTATTTATACTCTTTAGGTTTTTTTACTTTGTATCAATACTAACTAGTATCTAACTCATTGCATTGCTCCGGATTCAAATATAAAATATTTAATTAATTTAAAAACAAAAAAATTATTATAAAATATATATAGTAAATACTAATTTTAATATACTGTTGACCTCTGATTAAACCTCTAGTATTATTTATTATACTATCCTATTTCTTGAATAAGACCCGTAGTATATCTATATTGATTTATTACTTTAATATAATATATTCCAAATATGTACCCAGTTCTTCACACAGTATAGTATTCATGAGTACTATTCAATTTTAACATTGTTACATATTGTGTTCAAATTTGTGCAACAATAATAGAAATCATGTGTTATAGTAGTAGTCAATCAGATTGTATTTTTGTCTTATATTGTTTATCTTATAGTTTTATCTCATAGTGTTTGTCTCATAATATTTGTCTTATAGTGTTTGTCTTTGTATATAACACTACCTTGTATTATATAATAGATTTTAGTTAACTGTGTGATAAAGCTTCTTGCTATATTGTTTACTTTTAGGCTTTTTCACTTTAGTTCAAATGCTGCTTACTTGTTCTATAGCTATTTAGAGAAATAGGTGTAGAATACAAAGCACCTTCTTTTGCAAGTTTGTCTGCTTCTTTATTTTCTTTTATTCTACTATATACAGTGGGGTAGCACAGTATTATGACCATTTTTTGAAGATTTATATTGAGCCAAATAAATAAGATATAAATCTAAAAATTATACAAAATATTATTTAAATCTAAAGCTTTTAAATAAAAAAAAATTATAAAATTCTATCAATATTTTTTAAAATAATTAAGTTTAAATTTTTTTTAAATTTTCTATTTTATAATTTACTAGTTTTTAATATAAGTTTAATATAAATATGAATTTTAATTTTTAGTATATATTAAAGCTTTTTTTTTTATTAATAAACTAAAAATTTTTTTTAATAAAGTTATTTAGTATAACAAATTGTACATATTTTAAAAATTTTATAATTTTTTAAAAAATATTTAGTAATTTACTATATATAGTAATAAAATTACTATATTTGATAATTTGTTAATTTTACTTTAATAATTTAATATTAACTTTAAATAATAATATCTAGCTTAAAATTTTTTAAAAGTTTTTAAAAATTTAGAATTATATGTAATTTATTACATTAAACAAATTTTACATAATAATTATATATAGTTTACTTAATAAAAAAAATTTTTTTAATATACAGTAATTATGATAACTAATTTTTTAAAATTGCTAATTTCATACAAGTGTAACATTACATAAAATTGTGTAATCTTAATTAATTTAAAAACTACTGCATAGAATTTTGTAAACTTTTTTTTATTTAAAAGCTTTAGATTTAAATAATATTTTGTATAATTTTTAGATTTATATCTTATTTATTTGGCTTAATATAAATCTTCAAAAAGTGTCTATAATGCTGTGCTACCCCACTGTAGTATTTATAATATTAATTATATATATACTGTATATATAATTTAATATATATGTATTTATATTAGTATTGGCAATTTCAAATGAATAACCAAATGAATTGGTCATTGGTCATTTGGTCATTTGAAAGTTGAAATGACCTAATGACCTAATATAACAATTATAAAAATAAAAAGTGTATGATATGTACTAGAGTGACTCTTTTTCAGAATAGTTTTATTAGTATTGTAATAACTGACTCTCAAATTATTGAATTAATTTGGATTTCTTTACTGTGACCATTAGTTGAGAAGCAATTATGGATGTTAATCCAATTTAGCCCCAATGGTTCACTTAATTTGGTATTTATACACTTGTGCATGTGATATGATACCACGAAACTCTTAAGCTGAGTACTCATATATAGCTTAATTTAAAGTTAACTTATGATAATAATAATTAGTTTAATTTTATAAATAAAATTAATATAGTAAAAATCTAGCCAATAAAATTTCCAAATTTAGGTTTGTGCAACTTCTACTTTTAAATAACCAAATAGTAAATGACTTGGCTATTATTTTGGTCATTTGGTCATTTAAAATCAAATGACTGGTCATTTGCCAACACTGATTTATACAGCTAAATATATTTATTTCCATGTATTATTGCATGAGTTTTTAGTTAAAAATAAAATAGCTAATATTGTATATTAAAAATATTAATAATTATACTCTTTTCAGTAATTACTTAGAGATAAGCAGAGCTACTATATCTAGAGAGTAGTTTTTATAAAGCTTAACCTTTTGCTCTGTTTTAGAGACTCTTTTATATATTTAGTAAACAAGCTAAAAGTGTTACTGCACAAGATAACTGGCAGAAAATAATCTCTTGTATAGAAAATTTTGGTAAAAATACAGTATTTTTCTGTCGATGAAATAATTCTAGGCAGCTATTGAATAAGTTTTTTACAACACTTTTTATCAAATTTTGAAGTACTTATTTCTACAAACCCTTTATCATATTCCTACTAGGTGTTGAAATTTTTTAGAAATTTTAACCAAAAAGTGGAAAGACTATTATACTCTCTTTAAAAGATCAGTAGTGCTTACTCTTTTTAAATTAGAATATGTTTACTAAAATAGAATTTCTACAAGCTTATTTAAGTTTAATACTTTTTCTAAATAAACAATAATAGTGTTATCAAAATTAGAGAGATTATATATAAAAATTTCTTATTATTAGATGTTTTATTTTTATTTTTTTTATTTTTATTATATACAATATTAGAGTAGAATTTTGTTTTATACAATATTATATAATTTTTATAGTCTAGTACATAGTGCTATTATGGTTGCCTTTTTTACAACCTTTTTCTCCTTTTTTTTATTTTAATCTTTTTTTTATGTTTTCCTTTTATTTCATAAACTTTCTGTTATTTATTGATAGAATTTTTTTACCTAGGAGGCTAGGAAAAGAAGGTTGGAAAAGAAAGTGATTATAACAGGTCAATAAACCAGTCAGTGATTTGGAGCAAATCTTCCTGAGATAGATAAACCAAACTGATGAAACTGAGCTTATCTTTAACAAGTTATATATAGGTGCTCTAGTATATAAATACTTTATAGTAACTAAATGAATTACATTCTAAATTTATAGCTATTTGGCTAGTATAAAAATTGTTTCTTCAGAATTAAATTTAATTACTAAATAAAGCATAGAATTGTGACATGATCATCAAAATATATATATATATTAATAATAAATAACTAATTAATTTATTTTATTTTATTAATTCAAACCCAAATATATTTGCAACTTCAAATCAAACTCAAATCATACTTATTATAATATTTGAGTTTGGTTTGAATTTGATTATTTTTTATTTAAATTTGGGTTTAAATTCAAACTTTATAAAATTTATAGTTTGAGTTTGGTTTGATTTGAGGTTTGATCAACTCAAATCAAACCCAGATCAAACAGCAAAACCCTATTGTACTTAGCATAATAAAACCAAATATATATTTTATAAAATAGGCTCTAGACCTAGTAGTTTATATAAATAATCAGATTGTTTATATATTGTTATACAATATAATGACAATCTAATTTTTAATATTAGATTGTTATTTTATCATGTAGTAATATGTGACCTGTTGTATGAGGTGTGGTGACTTCCGCGAATCAGAAATTCAAGTAAAAAAAAAAAGTTTGTTGAATTTTGCTTGGTGGTTGTTGAGATATCTTCGCTCAAAGTTTAAAATAGTTTGGGATATGAAAATCAAATTGCCAATTTACATATTTACAGATTCTCAGCGATGTGTGATCTACGAAATTTGATGGTCACACTAATTTAAAAGAGTGATAAAAATATATTTTTTATAGTATATACCGAATATGCCGAAATCAATAACTTAATCGGGTCGGCCGAAAAATCATTCGGTTAATTTTTATCGGGTGTCTCAGGAATTATGAAAACAGCTGTAAAGAAATTTTTTTCGGTTCAAATCACTATTTCAGATAAGTCTTTAGTCTCGTCTTTTGAGGGTAATATTATACATAACTTTATTACAAGTGTTCGGAAAAAGATTTTTATCGATCGCGTTTTGAAAAATGTTTTTTCTATTAGATAATGCCTTTAATTTAAATAAAAATAACGATCATATATAACACCAATATCATACATTAAAATAAACACATGCAAAAGTCAACTGATTATTTATACGAAATCAGCTTTATTGATTACGATAAAAAATACATGATAAGTCACGAATATAACTCAAAGTTACAATTTTATTCAGGATCTGAGAAAACAGTTGAGCTATTTTCCATATGCCTACGTGATCTACGTACTTGTGCATGAAATAAAAGACTCATATTGACCACTAAAATATTCTACGAAATATAAATAAGTTAGCTACATCTAAAAATTCTGCTATATTTCTCGTTTTAACATACCCGCAAAATCAACAAGGTTTCCACAAATTCTGTTACATCTTCAACCGGTTGGAAGGGTATTTTTGTTGATTTAAGATGAAAATACCTGTGTATATCGCCCGAATCCCTGATAAGTACATTAAGATGTAATTCACATCCTATAAAGTGTTGTTCTTGTATTAGTGGAACCAACTCCGCTAAAAATAAATTCGTTATATAGAAAAGATGTAAAAGAAAAACATACCAGCTACTTGAATTCCAATTATCCCAAATTTATCCTTCTCTGGATAACGTTTTTTGCGGGTCCAAAAAATTCCGTCGTTTGCCTCTCTCCACAGTTTAATGCCATCATTTATTTTTTACGCTCGGTGCACACTACGCGGGAACATTCAGCATATATAAGCTCATATATATATTCTCCATATTTTAGTACGAACATTACATCTGGTTTTCTTCCAAAATGCCCTTCGCCTTTTCGATCGGCACTAGCAATGCTCTGCTTCTCCGAGCTGGATAAGAATAAAATTATATATCACTTAAAATATTACTTTAAATATACTAATATCTAGAAATATAACTTACGTGCTAACATAAGAAGATTTTCCAAAAGGGAGATCTTTTAAAGTGGCACTAATTATAGGCACAATAATATTTGTTACGTAGGTCCCCTCACTCTGCGATTCTACGAATTCTGGGCTAAATGCTGAGTTATCCCATGCATCATTCAAGACACTGAGGATTCTTTTTGTAACTTTCTCGAGAGTTTCACCTCCCTCTTTCCAAGATTTATTATGTTTCAATTTTTCTGGTAAGACCTCCATTTCCTCCATCTGATGTTCATTATAACTCAACACAAATTCTTCACATGTTTCTCGAACGATTGATGGTAATAACTTAGGTATCATATTACGAGCCGGTTTCTACAAATAAGTTAGGTCATTATTTATATAAATTTGGTATGATAATATCATTACTTACCATAAAGCTCCTTCTTATTTTTTTTGGCAAATCCTTTACTAGCTGAGAATCATCGCTAATAACCTGACTAGCGATAGGATCTTTCCACGATAGATCGGAAACATCTAAATTCTCTATGGAATTAAGCAATTCATCATAGAGTGGCGATGGGTTTTGCTGAAGTTTTGACTTTAATTCTGATAGGTTATTTCCAATTTGCTCGGAACTGAGAGGTTTTTCTTTATTCTTTATACAAAAAAGCTAGCATATTATAATAGTCTTTTTTTATTAATAAATGAAATAACATACCATTTTTACCGCACCAATATCTCGCAAACTGCATACCCCTTCAAAAGCATCATCATACTGGCACAGAAAAAAAAATATTTTAAATTAGATCATGATCTTTCCGGAAATAAATAATTTAAATATCGCGCACATCGTCAGATAGTTACAAAGTTACTATGTCGTGTGGCCAACACGCATTAGACTTTGCCAGCATAGCGGGCTTTAAATCTGATTGGATGATCGCCCAGAATGTTTTACAATATGTTTTACATATTAGTGTAACGTTTCTCAGTCACAAAAATGGAAC